CTCTCTGTTAGAAATGCAGCACTGGGTCCCAGCAGCATGTCGGGGACAGTCCTCTGCTATTTTTCATGTCTTAGAAAGACGATTCTCCTATAATAGGAGAAGGCCGGATCCCACAGCGGGCAGGGGATTTGGCCGGCATCGCTGAGCAGATTCGAGGCACGGCCAGAATCCAAAGCCCTCTGCGTCCCATCTGACTAGCGTTTCTGGTGCGCTTGCTCATCTCAGCACCTCGCACAGAGTCTCCCCGAATCTCAGAATAGCTCCCTGAGGAAGGGTAATTATTACCCTTCCCTTTCTCTGAGGGGAAAACAGAGGCTCAGAGAGGTGAAGTCCCTTGTCTCGGTCACCAGCTGGCAAGCAGCAGAGGCAGGATTTGAACCCAGGGCTTTAAGAAGCCACGTCTGAGTCTCGTACCCGCCGTCCTCACTGCCAGGACGCTGGGACACTGCCCTTGGCGGGGTCCAGCGGGATAGTGGGGGGTAGAAGACTGGCCCGAATCCCCGGGCTGGGCGCTCTGGCCCCTGCAGACTGGGGTCCTTGACCGTAGATGGCCAGGAAGTTGCCTTTGGTTTTGTGGGTCCCTGGCTGTCCTTTTTACCACATTGCCCTACTTCTTCTTTTCAAGGCACCCCTTAGGCTTTGCTGTCTCCTGCTTAGGCCTGACCTGTCTGCTTTGAGCTGTTTTCTTCTGGCGACAGAGAGGGGCCTGTCACTGTGTCCTGTCTGAGGACAGGGAACAGCTTGCCTCAGCCTGGTCAGATGCAGGCCTGTCTCTGGCCACACGACCCTAGGCCAGTGGCTTCTTCTCTCTGAGCTGCTGAGGGCGAGGCGTCCCTCCCCGAGGGGTGATAGAGGTGATCCCATTAAATGCTGCTAATGCATAGTAAAAGTTTTAGCTGAGTATGTGCGTCATAAATGTAAGAATCCAAAATTCGTGTGCTTTGGTTTAAACTGAACAGGAATGATCGATAGTAACCAAAACTGGTGTGTTGGTAACATTTTTCTTATTCTGTCCATTCTTCTAGTCCTTTCCCCCTGATATTTAGTATCCAAGTCACTTTCTGACCCCAAATATACACTAGAGAATACACACACACACACACACAAACACACACACACACACACGGGCACAGACACTGTACTTACCCTTTCTGGAAACAGCTTCCCCAAAGTTTACCCCTTTTCTTCCTTTCTGTGCATCTCCCATCACCTTCTGGTCCATTCTCTCGTTGCCCACCAAGTGTCAGGAGGAAAGGGTGATTGCTCTAATTTAAACTAAAGTGTGATGGACTGGTCCGCAGGAGCACAGACACTGACATAATAACAGAATTCTAGTCTCAAGTCGAAGAGGAGAATTTCAGTGAGCACTTGAACAAGTTGATAGGTCCTGGGAGGGATTTCCAAGTGGCTTTCTGTCCTGCCCAGCCTGCCTTCTCCCTGAAAGGAGCCCTGGCATTAGATTTCCCCATCCCCAACCCTGAATTCAGGGCACCAGTGAACCCCTGCCATTGTCAGCAGCATATGATAAGCACAGTTTCCTGGGGAGAGGGTCCCCAGCTATTTTCTGATGTCCACGGCGGCCAGTGACCCCAGGCTGAGATTCATCTTTGCTTTCTTAGTTGCTTCTAGAATCCTCTCAGCGTTTGAGGTCAGTGCACCCCACCCCTCTTTGCAGCTGAGGAAACTGTGGTTTAGATGGGGGAAGTGACTCTCCCAAAGCCACACAGCCAGGAAATGCTGAAGCTCTCGACAGCTTGGACCCCGGGGCCGAGATTGCGCATTCCCTCCGTTCTGATATTTACGTCCCGCTTGCTACAGCCCGTGGTGGGGATGCAGGCTGGGTCGGTCCTTTGGTGGTTCCGGCTGAAGCTCGCATCCATCAAGGAACCTGCCTGTGGCCTTTGCACTGGGCATTCCCTTTGCCAGAACACCCTCCTCTCTCTTTCCTACCTGGCTGTTTGAAAACCACCTGTGCACTGTTCAGAACTTGGCTCTGGGGCTGCCTCCTACAGGAAGTCTTCCCTCACCTCCTCGGGTAGAAGCTGTCACCCCCTCCTCCCAGGTGTGGGGCCACCCTCTCCCATCTGGGGATCTTTGCATTCTCTGTCCCCTCTGCCTGGATCAGTCCTCCATGCATCTTCACATGGCCAGCTTCATCCAGGACTCCGCTTGGATGCCACCTTCCCCGAGGGGCCCTCCCTGCCCTCCCTCCTCCTTCCCCTCCTCGATCCCTCTTACAGGGGAAGCCCTTTCCACTGGGTGCCAATAGCTTATGTGCTATCGCTCCCCCGCCCAGCTGTCTTACCCGCTTTCCTGTCCCCAGCACTGAGCACGGTGCCCGGCACCTTTTTTTGTACTTAATACCCATTCACCGAATGAAGACTGAGGGAGTAAGTAGTGATTCCAGAAGAAGCCCAGAACAGGACAGCGTATTCCACACCATCTCCTGAAAAGCATCTCTCACCAAGGCGGTGTGGTCCTTCAGAGCAGGCATTAGAGCTGGCTGGCCCGGGCCAGAATGTTCTACTCCAGCCTGGCTGCTCCCCAGCTGGGCACCTGTGATCAGCCTCTCCATTTCTTGGTTTCCTTCTGTTTTTTCTTATTTTAGGGGGGCGGGGAACACAAGGGAGCAAGGGGCAGAGA